GAAGAGGCTCATGTTTCTTGGGAAGCGCATCATTTTATGTCTAATCGAAAAGACCATCCCATCCATCTTACTCCATTTCTTCAAGATAACTTGTCGGATCCTGCCAAAAAGGTATTTGGCTTTTGTAATTGGATTTCCATTCTGCGCCGACACTGACGCTGCCACCAGAACTTCTTACCCAAACTCCAAGATCATCTACTCGGCCGTCTGCGCAAGGATCCTTACGATGGGGACTATGAGTTTTCAGATGAGGAGCGACGTGACATCATCCTTGCAAATGAGAAGATTTATGCAGTCAAAACCCTCCGTATCAACTACACAACATACGACATTCGTCGAGATCAAGATGTTGTGAATCCCCGTACCGAACACAGCGCGGTCATGGTGCTATCACCGGAAACCCATGAAAACACCCATCCGTATTGGTACGCTCAAGTTATAGGTTTATTTCACGCCGATGTTGTTCACTATGATGCCAAGACGGGGTGTATACGGTCCAGAAAGCAAATGGAGTTTCTCTGGGTGCGCTGGTTAGGAACTGAGCCAGGTTATTGTGATGGGTCGAAGACTGCCAAGCTCCCAAAAGTCGGATTTGTTCCCGAAGATGATGATTTTGCTTTTGGGTTCCTTGACCCGACCCAGGTTATCCGAGGCTGTCACCTTATCCCCGACTTTTGTGGTGGAAAAACTAACACCCTTCTTCAGACGCCTGGTCCAACTGCAGCACGCAAACCAGGACAGGATTCAGACTGGCTAAACTTCTATGTTATGATGTCAGTTCGTTGCAATAATCACTCCATATCCGTACTCACCTTACTTGTTAGTTTCGTTGATTGTGATATGTTCATGCGCTACCATGGCGGAGGCATCGGACATGTTGATATAGCCCCGGAAAACCAGCCACAAACACTAGAAACAGAAGTGGGACCACCAGAGAATGACGAGGGCTGGGAGAAGGAACGTCACAGAGACACCCCCCACTACCAGTACAGCAATGGATGACGACTCAGATAGGGCAAGCAGCGAGGAGGATGATTTTTGAAGTGAGGCTGGGGACACAAACTCAGAGTCTGGAGACCGCACTTGGCTGCTCAACTACCTGACAGACAATCTTGATTATCAGTCAGAAGACTCTGAAGATGGGTCGGGCTTCGAAGATAATGACGATGGCTTTGATTCACAATAAAATAGTTATGGATTATCGTGTTACTGTAGTTCATATATGTATTGCTGAGTCCTCTAATCTGCATCACTGTCTACAGGAGAGTACGCAAATCTAGGTGGAGGAGGAGGGATAACAACATCGGTGATACCATACATGGCGGCTTCATTCAAGGTCGTTCCAATATCATCCGCTTGTTCAGCCATACTGATAGCAAGTTTCCGCCACCGACCCACGTTGGATTGATAAGAAGCGATTTCAGCTTCGAGGGTTGCAACACGCTGCTGGTACCACGAAAGCATGATATCTTTCAGTTCTGGTAAACCAAAAGTCAGGCATTTCAGGCAGTGCCTATGACAGTGATACAGATGCATACGCACGTTGTTCGCTGGCACCAGTAGGCCGCGTTGCTACCGATTTGAACAAGACGGAAGGTAATGCCTCCCTCTCAGCCTGTGAATCGGCAAGTGGATCCCAGTCCAAGAGCGACTCTTGAGTTCGAGTCAGAGGAGAGAGCTGGCTGGTTGTAGGAATCATGTCCGAGTCACTGCCATACCAAGGAAATTCAGATACCAATTGACATATAAGGTACGACATAACTCACAAAGACTGTGGACAGCTATCATTGGCCTGGGATACGTCGCCTGCATATCCATCCATAATCAAACCTGGTGAATCATTCGGCCAGCTTGAAGCTCCAGGTTGAGTCTCGGGGTCGAGCTGAGATTCGGTTACAGGCGTTGAAACAGAGCCTGAGTGTGGCTGCGTCAATCGTTGATGTTTGGCCCGGGAGTATACAGCTGAGTCGCCAACGTACGACCTTTTAGACATGATGTGACAAACGAATAATGGGTCACCTGCAGAAAAGCACGTAGTCGTTACAACTTACTTGGCTGTAGAAGTATCGTGACTCGGTGTAGGGATCCTAGAAGTTGCCTAGAAGTCTTCTTGAGGCTCGGAAACTTTCAAAAAAATCCAATGAAAAAGATACATACAGTTACCTTTTAGCCCTAAGAATTCTCTCAAGATGGCATCCCGTTACTAGAAGGTGGAAACGTGGACGAAAGTCTTGTATCGCAAGATGATAGTGGAGAAAAAATTATCGCTGTCGGCCATCAGTTTACATCCGCTCTCAGGATCACACCACTTGGTGATATAGTATAATTATTACGGTCCGCTCATAACCGTTGATAATGTAGAAAAATCACTTTATTTGGCTTATAATCCACTGTGCCCTTGTAAAATCTTTCCTGTACCTGGTAAGAGGTGCAATGCCTTGCAATCTCTCCCCGGATTTAGTGATGATGGATAGACAGGTTGTGGGTAAGTATTAGAAGCACTAGTACTGGCAGATTGTAGAAACCAACAGCCTGAGTCTATTCTGTACCAGAAGCAATCCCTTTTGAATATGATTCAAGTTAGTTATGACTCGGTCTCTGACTCTCCAGTACACCATCCTCCCGCTATGCAGAATCATAGTTGTATCTGAGGTTGCAGCCAAAGACATCCATCAGAAAGATGCTAATATAACATCGGGCGTATGGTCTAGAGGTATGATAAATCTCGCAAGAGCCACTAAGGCCACAGTGTGGTTACGCCTGCATGGGGATCTGGTTTTACCCTAGCACTCTCCCTCTTTTTGGTTATGGGGAAAATGTGCTCCATTAAGCTGTAGATAAGTAATCGTAACAGCTAGCCTTGTACGTATGTACCTGGCCTTGCTAACATCCGTGCGTTGGCCTCGCAGTCTACCTTCTCCACGAGAGTCGAGCTCGCTGCCCGCGCTGGCGTAGGGACCGGCTAGTTCCCTTCGGGGGACCGCTTTCAGCTGAGGCTGAATGGGCCATGTAATCAATTCCAATTCCAATTCCTGCTTTGGGTAGGCACTCATGCATCCCATCCCCTTGCAGGGGGTCTTCGGTTCGAATCTGGATTCGCCCCATTTGCAATCACTGTATGGTTTAACTGTATGGTTCAACTGCGTAATGTTTTTGGATGGTTGAAATTTTTTGAGAGGACAGCTCATCCTTGCTTGGTCCATTGCAGGATCCGACGGTTTTACTGTGCATATTGTACAGCTGCATAAATAATCCATACCGCGGCCGCTGTACCCATTATCGAGTGGCCAATAACTCTTAAGTGTGCGATAACTTAACTCCTGTAGTCAGTGGGCACATGGTCTAGAGTGTCTAATAGTACATTTGGTATACTCAGCTTGTCGAAATTGTGAAAGGAGATTTCGGTTCGAATCCGGGTGGGCCCATACTTTAGTTTCTAGAAGCAAGTTTCTTTTTTTCCCAACTTCTTTCCGCCTTGGGTCTGGAATAACCCATCGTTGAGTTGTGTCTTCTCTGCTTGTCCGAGTCTTCAGCTTGAACCCGAATTTGTCACCGTCCTGGAGGCTGGCATACCGTGACTCAGTTGTTGGTGACTTTTAAGCAGGAAAGAAAAGGATAAATTAGATCTGCACGACTACACATGCGATTCATACAGCGGCTGCTACATATTATTGAGGGGCCAATAGCCTACTCTCAAAGGCAAAACTGTCCCTCCGGCTTCAGCACTTCAGCGCATAAACCCAAGGTTTTTGTTCATTCCAAATCGGTCTATACAAAGCTTGGGTATGTATGAAACTTCTCCAAGAATGTTAAAGCGCCTGAGCTTGAAAGTTGAGGGACTAGAGCCTAAAAGCCTAACTGGAACCGCTTGTGAGCATGAAAGTCAAACAAATTGCTATTGGTGCTATGTAAGAGTACAAGTACTACGATACGAGTTTGATAAACCTTCTAATAGTCACCTCGTCAAGTTTATCTTCACTCTTAGAGCTATAGCTACTCACGATCAGAACAACAGATTACCCGGATTACCCAAATTCGGTCGCGATGTACCGCTTTGACCGACGCTTTAAGGAGCAAAGAGTGACGGGCCGGGAATGCTGCTACTGGTTCTTTCAAGAACCAATAAGCAGTTCAGTGGGAGTTCGAACTTGAACCGAATACGCAAGTATCTATAAGTATCTATAAGTATGCCAGATAAGTATGCCAAAATAGACTAGAACAGACTAGTAATTTACCGCACATCCAAGAAAATCAGAACCCTCCGAACCCTCCAAGTGGATCATGACGAAAAACTCAGCGAATTGCGATGCCGAGCATTCATCGCGCGCATCACCCACCAATCATATCATTCACAGCAACAATGTCAAGAAGATGCAAAGAAGATGCAAAAAGAAGATGGCAATTGCAAGGCACATGCGCCTACATGCGCATGCCTAATACCTTCAAACCTTGTGTCACAAACTCTCTTTCATCGATTATCATTTATCATTTAAACTGGCATCGACTAGCATGTGGCCCATGATGGGCCGCCATGATACCCGATTTCTTGCTGTAAAATGGGTGCGAGATCAAGGATCAGAGCAAGGTTGAATTCGAATCGAAGCGGGTTAGTGTTGTGCAGAACCAAAACGGGATACATTATATACAAGCTTACATGGTACTCAAGGAAAAGCAGAATGCGAATAGAATGATCACCGAAAATCTGATATCACCAAGTCTCGAGACTGGAGATAAGTAGAACTGGGTGTGAATAACTAGTGGGCGTTTGAAAGGTAAGTAATGGGAGGAATGGGAGGACGCGTGAGATCTGGATGATATCGATGGATAAATATGTCAGGGATATTTAGCAGAGCCGAGACGAGATGAAGACGCGGTTACCCCGGGTAGATGAATTGAGGACAAAGTCGAGGAGAGTCGAGGACACGATACTACCGCATATACGGATATATGCGCCGACAGATGGGTTTCACTAGATTATACCCTGACACTGCTAAGTCAATGGGCGCATAGTGTAAAGGATATGATGCTCTTTTTCTGGACATCCTCCAAATCTTTGCCATTGCAGGAGTTTTCGGTTCGAATCCGGATGGGCCCACTGTATTTCTGGGATAGAATTTTTTTCTTTGCAGGTCATCTTCGGCTCAATTGGAGCCCAATTTCGTGTGAGCTATCGGTGGTCTTTGTGAACCCTCCAGCCTTTAGTAGGTCTCGGGGCAAGGTTTTCTTGTTCACTCCAAACGAGTCTGCTTTAGGATACTAGATTATAACCTGATGCCGTTCAGTCAATGGGCGCATGGTCCAGGGATATAATACCTTTCGTTGGGCATTCTTGATTCCTGCAATTGCAGGAGTTTTCGGTTCGAATCCGGATCGGCCCACTGGCATGGTGTAGGATAACGCAGCTGAAGGAACACTTTTTTCTATAAGGGTTCTCGCTTTGAGTACTACATAACCAGCCTATAGTTGAGTAACGCCGATATTTTTTTACTGCAGGACATCTTGACTCTTTGACTCAAATCCAATTGAGTCTATACTAGACTACTTATAAGTACTAACCTGACACTGTTAATTCAATGGGCGTATGGTCTAGGGATATAATACCTTTCGTTGGCATTCTCGATTCCTGAAATTGCAGGAGTTTTCGGTTCGAATCCGGGTCCCCATTGTAATAAGTGTTTCATTCATAGTTTTTTTTCTAAATATGATTTCTCGCTTTGGGTACTAAATAACCAGCCTATCATTGAGTTACGCCGATATTTTTCTCTGCAGGACGTCTTGCCTCTTTGACTCAAATCCATTTGTGTCTATACTAGATCGACTACTTATAAGTACTAACCTGACACTGTTAAGTCACTGGGCGTATGGTCCAGGAGATGTATTACCTTTCCTTGGGCATTATTGAATCTTGCAATTGCAGGAGATTTCGGTTCGAATCTGTGTGGCCCCATGTAGTGCATTGAATGTTACTTTCTTTTACCAAAAATTGCACTATTCTTGCCTACTTTGGATAGATAACCCAAGTATCATTGAGTTACTACACAAATACTTTTTCTTTGTATGCCGTCTTGACTCTTCCACTTGAAGAGTCCAAACGAGCTTATACTAGACTATTGCCTGACACTGTTGAATAAGTCAGTGGGCATATGGTATAGAGGGTAAGATACCTTTGATATGGCTGATTGGGCCGTGTAATCCATAATCCATAATCCATGCTCCTTCCCTGGGCATTCTTTACAATCTTTGTGATTGTAGGAGTTCTCGGTTCGAGTCCGGGTAGGTCCATAGTCGTGAATTAACGTTTCCAATGTTTTTTCTTCTAGCAGTATGGTTCCTGTTCAAACTCTTTATTGAAATGGCCAAGAAAGGCGGGGCTGGAGCCTAACCGGAATTGCTTGTGAGACATGAAAGTCGGACGAGCTGTTATCAGTGCATGTAATAGTATAAGTATTATCATATCATAACTTGATAGATCTTCTGGTATGTACACCTCGCTACAAACCTGATTATATTCTACTCCTAGAGCTTATAATAATATAAGTACTCGCGGCCGCACTACTCCGCACTAATGCGAACACCCAAATTCGGTCGCGATGTACCGCTTTGACCAAAAACCGGAGATTGAAGTGACGGGCCGGGAATGCTTCTACTTACTCTTCCAAGAAACCAATAAGTAACCCAGTGGGAATCCCAACTTGAGCCAAAATAAGTATGGCCAGCCTAATAAACTATAATGCGACTATAATGTACTTCAAACAGAAGAATCAGAACTCCTGCGGGTGATCGTGACAAGCGAATTGCGATGCCATCGCGTTCGCAACAAATATCAAGAAGAGATATCAAGAAGACGCGAGAAGATTCAAAGAAGATGACAATTGCAAGGCACATGCGCCTACAAGTGCGTGTCTAATCCCTTCAAGCCTTGTGGCTCAAACTAAACTCTCTGTTATCGATTATCATTTTCCATATACTGAACATACTTAGACCGCCGGCATATCGGACAGTGCCATACATGTGATGATGCCTTAGATGTCTTCTTGGTGGTGCATGATACGATATCCGATTCCTCGTGAATGCAGTATGCTTCTTCTTGTCTGCTTCTTGTAGAGTTACTGTAAAAAAACAAGGTCAAAGCAAAGAATCAGATCAAGGTCGAATACGAAACTTTGAAAGCGGGATGCCCAAAAACAGAACAAAAATAATGTAAATGGTACTCGAGGAGAAATAGCATGTGGATAGAATGATCATAACCTGGAATCTGATACCACCGAGTCTTGCTTCTTCAGCCCCTTTCTTGTAAAAGGGAGCACACAAGGTCAAAGCAAAGGATCAGACCTGATCAAACCCAACGTCGAACTTCGAAAGCGGGATGCCCGAAACAGAACAAAACCACCAAAGTATGTTATACTTACTGTATATGGCACTCGGGGAAAAACAGGATGCGAATAGAATAAATAGAATGATAGAATGAATAACTTGGAATCTGATACCACCGAGTCTCGAGAGGTCTCGAGACCGGATATATAACCTGATATAACCTGATTTCATTGAGTGTTGATTGAGTGTGACTATCAGAACTAACTCTAATGGGAGAAATGGGTGTAATGGGAGAACGCCTGGGGACGCCTGAGAACGCGTGAAATCAGTGCGGAACTAGTGGGTGGAATCTGGGTGGATATCGATGGAAATGTCAGATAATGCCAGGGATATATCGTAGAGCTGTGACGAGACGAGGTGAAGACGCGGTCACACCGGGTAGATGAATCGAGGACGAAGTCGAGAATACCACCTTAATACATGCATCGACGAATGGACTTTACTACACTTTGCTAGGTTATACTATGCCCTAACACTGTTATGTCAATAGGCGCATGGTCTAGAGGATACGATATGCTTCTTCCTGGGCTTCTTCCTGGGGATCCTCTCAATCCCTACAATTTCAGGAGTCTTCGGTTCGAATCCGGGTGGGCCTATGTGGCAAAATTGTCGACGGTTTTTTTTTCTAGGACAGGGATGGACCTGGATGGAGATGGACCTGGATGGACTTATATATATGGGACTTATATGGACTACTGCGACAGACGTGGATAGACTTGGACCGTTAGACGGATGACTGAGATGGACCGAGATGGACAGTTCAGAACAGACAAAAGATTCGAGATACATATGCTACCCTATGCTACCCGAGATCAACCCGAGATAGATGGGTAGATGATAGATATCTAGATGTTTAGCTGGTAGATATAAAAACAGCGTGTACAGATGGGGGATTCGACACTACTTGTAGGAATGGCAAAATGCATTCCCAAGTTTAACCAGCGACGACGACAAGAACAAGGACAAGGACAGGGACAAAGATAAGGACAAAGATGATGACAGGGACAAAGACAAGAACAAAGACAAGGACATGCGCCACGGCATACATCGAGCAGGCCTAGAGCAAAAGAGCAACAAACTGATGAACACAGAACAACGAGTTGTAGCCGCGAAGTAGAAAAGTGTGGTGCTCTGGCTCTAGGCCGAGCACATGTAGAAACCAACCAACCAAAAATCTCGAGGTTCGCGAGGACGGGGGTATTGATGATATCGGGATTCGGGGGATTCGGGGGGATTCGGGGAAGTACGGCGCGAGTGGGAAATTGAATGGGTTGGATGGGTTGGGTGTAAAGATGAGTAGGGGCAGGAGAACGTGGGTTCATCGACTGCAAGGGAAGAGAAGGTTGACCAGAAAAAGAACGTGGAGATAGAGAATGGAATGGAACGGAGTTATCGTGCGTATCAGTTCACGTTCAAAGAACCCTGAACGTTTTCACTAGAAACATCGTTCAGCCCATGTAACACTCTCAGAAAGAAGAAGAAAAAAGGCAAGACGCACGTAACTAGCCCGACTACGTTTCCGGGCGGGTTGTACAAACACACATGCAGGGTGGCTTGTCCCGGGAGGATATTGGCGCACTGGGTGTTATACGCGCATCCCACGCTGGTGGTGTCTTTCCATACGATCTGCGTAAAGGCGCTGAAGGTCGGGGATAGAGGATCATATGAATCTAAACAGCAGACGTAAGTGGCACGTTAGTTAACTCCCTTTTAGAATTGAAAATTGAAATCAAATAATGACCTTGATTCAAGAACGACTCGACGGCAGCGCTTATGCCAAAGGTGCCTGTAGCGGCGGCGATGTTTTCGCCGTAGGGCAACTCGCTGAGCTGGCCGTTGCTGTGTTGGAACTGGCACGCGTCGGCCCATTGTTGAGCTCCCGACGCGAGATCGTCCGACCATATAAGAGGAACGGCGCCGTGTGAGAAGCGAATGTAGTTGTGCGCGAAGAGGTACTGGGTGATATCCGAAGACGAGTCATCTCTGAACTGGATGGGGGCTGCGCAGACGCGGACGAAAAGAGTGGAAAAGAAAGCAGCGAGGAGGCTGAAAGTGATGAAGATCATGTCGTTTATAAAAGAATGGAGGGTAAGCTGGGCTTTTTCGTAGAAAACTCTGGGTAAGAGAGAGCAAGCGAGCAGCTGGACGGAAGGAAAGGATGAGAAAAGTTTTTGCTTATTTTTACAGGAGCCTCATGGAGTGATTTGAACTTTTATTGATCACGTCGTCAGTGCAACGCTGGATGTGCCTGGGGCCTGAGAATCAGATACATAGATTACTATTGGTACTTCTAAAGTCTATAGTACTTAGTACTTAGTACTGGTGTCCTGTCATGTTCTTCTCCCCGCACTGTACAGTATGATGTCACGCCGCGCGCGTTCATTCCGTTTCGAATTTATTGGTTGGCGTGGGGCGCGAGTCGACTTTGGCAGTATGACACTGGGAGACACTCGGCGTCGAAATGGCGGAAAGCCAAAAGTCTAGGTAGCTGATATAGCCAGGTAGACTGAGAGTTATCTGAATCACTAGGATTCGGTTTTAGAAAGCCTTCCAAAGCTTTTTCAGTCCAGAGGCTTTCTTCTCGCCATTGCCGTTGTGTGGACGTAAGACTTTTCCGAGCTGCTCGTATGTGTGGTGTGTCTCTCGTGGAGACTGGGCAGCAGGAATGAAAAGACCAAAACCGGAATAGGAATGGCTGGGTGTAGAGGTGAAGGCGCCGAA